CTCGAATAACTAAACAATGGAATATTATGTTAACTCATAGTATGTCATTGAGATTCAAGTGATGAAGACTTAATTACTTTTGAATTCCCTTTAAAGAGAAGAAAAGAACTGGTGGTATATTGATCCTTTATTGACCCTTATATAGCCAGTGATAAAATAACAACTTAGAGAAAATCTAGGTAATAGGAAAACCTAACTACAATCCTAAAGATAAGAAAGTTGATAAGTACAAAATTAATATAATTAAACTGAATGAAAAAAGTTCTACAAATGACAAGAGTCCTAGATATCTGCTACCCTTATTACGACGCCCCCGCAAGTTGGCGTCGAGGTCTACTACGCCCAACTTGGAGAAATGGTTACTGAAAAGAGCACGCGGAAGGGGCTTTGTGAGAAGATCTGCAACTTGATCAGTAGCATGTAAATGGGTGATTTCAAATTGTTTGCGTTCAACCTGCTCACGGACAAAATGGAAGTCGATGGCAGAATGAAGAGTGACTGTAAGAACGGTAGAGAATGGAAAGAGCAAACGTACTGGACACAATTTGTAATCTTTCAATTTTTTCATATTCTTTTTAGAGTTTTTGATAAATAACTTGTAAGTGACAAAGGTTCTTTAATTTTTTGTTATGACGCTTGTTATATGGATGATGCGAAATCTATATTCTCTTTGATTTTATTTTTTTTTAAAATGCTTTTCAAACTATTTTTCTGAAAGCATGGCACTTTTCCTTTTTGACTAATTGTATTTTTAAAATAATAATTGTGGTATGCAATTCGTTAAAAAAAATAGAGATCCCCTATTGGTAATGAAACTATGCTTTCATTCTCCTTTTACGGAAAATGAAGCGATAAATTAATAAATTTATTTCCTTTCATAGAAAAATTCAACTGTCAAAACCAATTAAAAACGGCAAAAACGAAAATGACTCAACTAAGATCAGGGTTGGAAATTAGGTCAAGTTTTTGGGGTTTTATTTCCCTAAGTTTTTCAATTTTTCAATACCTACTATTACCCTTAACATTAGCTCATACAAAATTTGAAAAATACTCACAAAATTGAAATTGGGGTAGGAATGTGAAAAACAAGAAGGACTAGAGGTGGTGTTGGTTTGCAACAAAGTAAGGAAATTTTGAGAAAATATTTGGGGGTGGGACAGTGATGTAGGGGCATTAAGAAGAGTCCGGAGCCTAAAGGGCAAAAAAAATGGTCAAAAATTCCAAAAGGGCACATCACTTTTTATTTTAGCCAAAAGGGCAAAATCGCTGCGTCAGCAGCGATTTTCCTCTGACAAAATGACAAAATCGCTGCCCTAGCAGCGATTTCGTCTAAAAAAAATTTTTATTTTTTTTTATTAAAAATCGCTGCCACAGCAGCGATTTTGTAAAAA